ATATTAAACATCTTATTGTTCCATCCTTTCCTAACAGAGCACTTCACTCTCAGACTGCAGGTTTACTTGTGGTTCCTGGAGTTTCTAACAGTAGAATGGGAGGCAGAGCAATTGAATTGTGCGTGCAATAAAATTGCTAAAACTCTAATTTATTTTTGTTGTATTTCAGTACAGTTCCACTTGTTTTTTCATTATTATTTATTTAGTGTTCTGTCTTGTTTTCCAGATTCGAGACAGTGTGACACAAGAAGTCAGGCGAGAGATCTACAACGAGCTACTGGGTGCTGCATCACCTCAAGGTGCACACTTTTCAACCAGGCAGCACSCTCTGTAACGCACCAACTCCTTCACCTCCAGCCTTCAGAACCAGCCTGAACAAACCCACTATCTTTAACACTGTATGGCTACATAACACTGTGGAACATTGTATGTCTGTAACACTGTTCTTTTAACACTGTTCTTGTGATTTGTGACGTGACAAGCTCCGCCCCCCACACCAGTGATCCAACCTCACCTTACCTCCATGACCAAGTGTGATTCTTTCTTCTTCTGTTGTCAAAGTCATTTTATTTTCCACCACTGCCATAAAAACCACAAACACAAACCACAACTAGTAATCCCAGTCCTGTTATCATATTAGACCAAGTTATTTAGATCTCAACCCAAGATCTCTCTGCTGCCCCCGAGACCTGACCCTGGATAAGAGGAAGAAAATGGACGGACGGTCTTTTTGACAGTATTTAAACAAACAACAACTATTAAACTTGTGATGTTCTTAGGTTAAGATCGAGTGTATAATTCTTTATTTTCCCTCAGTTGATTTGGTTTTGAGATGTTTTTCTCTCAGATGTCTGTCTCCAACTTAATTTGAACTTAATTCACTTTATTTATGATGACATTTGAACAGTTTCATGTCGTCATTCTGTATATTCAGACTCATGTGAACTATTTCCAATAGAACAATTGATTCACTTGTTGAGAAAAAGGCAGGTTTTCAACTGTGTATCACTGAAACTGTTTACTGGTCACTGAGTCTTAGGACGATTGGTTTGAACATTAATGTTAATATTTTTAAACAGTGAAACATAGGTTTATTTTTCTGCAGCTACATCTATATTTGCAGAACAAACTTGTCCTGCAGCATGTTGAGGTGGCGGATATGTCAGTGTCTAAAAACCACAAACATCTTCAAACTGAGGTGAAACTAAATTAGTTCTTATCCATAAACGTAGCCTTTTATGCATCTAAACTGTAATTTCCCTTCATGGGATCATTAAAGTATCATTCAACATTCATTTAAAATACTAAAAAAAATTAAAAACCAAATGTCTAATGTTCGTGTTCATCTCTAATGGGGTCGTTTTTTATTTTTCTTGCTTCGTTCCATTGCACATTTCACCTTAATTCAGAAGAGTTTTATTGTAGAGTTTTGTCGTTGTGATACATCATCACAATCATCACAAGCTTCTGTTCTTTTCATATCCTGGCATTCATGAAAGAGTCCAACTAATTTTGAAGGGCATATTTGCAATAAAGCAAGTAATTATGTTGTAAAGTATTATGTTTTCTGTTAAAGGTTTTAATGGATTAACAAGACAGAAAATAATTGGCAAATACAGTATTTTAAAACCTGATTTAGTACATATTTGGTTGGTTTGATGGTAACGTTTAGTTTTAGCTGTTAGCTGCACTTTGAAGATAAATTTGTGCAATATACTGATAATTCAATTTATAGGTTCTCAGATTCTCACTGCTAACATTTCAGATGTTATGCACCTGAAAAGCATGGACGAGGGTTTTATTCAAATGTCTTTTTGTTTTTGCAGAGACTCAGAATAATAACACAAACACTGAATGTTAATTTTGTGACCTTTTTTAGGTATTAAAACTTGAGCATAGTTTCTGGTTGATGCCACACAGGTGTTGCAGTGATCTTCAGTTATTAAAGACTGAAAATTGTAAATGTTGAACTTGATTGGGATTAGCAAAGAGACTTGACAATTGTAGTTGAGTTAAAATTTTAATTGTATGCTGGGAGATGATCTGTGTGAGTGAATGCTGGGAAACTTTAAAATGAAGCTCAAAACATAACTAATCCAAAATGGAGACATGGGAAACATTTATCATCTTGACTTGATGTGTGTGCGTGAKAACAAAGAGTCTCAAACACACACATCATAAATGCATCTCCTGGATGAACTCACTGGTTTTGTAGAACAAGAATCCACTCTTCTAGTTCCACTTTACTCTTTGAATGTCGGTGATCAATTGTTTATGGATTTCTAATAATGCTTATTTTGTACTGATGTCTGTTGTTGGGTGGGGGATCACTCTGTAGAGATAAGAATAATAAAGATATATTTATTTTCAGTCTAGATGAGTGTGTGTCTGTATCAGAGGAATGTTGCAAATCTTAATCATTAAAAAAAGAACATTCTACTTCTATTTTTGCTTTGTTAAGCTTATATATACACAAACTTTAAATATTTCACCATTTAAACTATTAAATTTAATATCAAATATACTATACAAGCTACTCAACTGTAATTATCACCAATCCAGTTGTAAAAAAAGACAAAGTAATGTTTATGTAAATGTTTACTTGTTGAAATATTTAACATATTTGTAAAAAAAAAAAAAAAAGGAAACACGTGTATCATCCTGCCAACAACGCCAATCTCTGTCGTCGCATGAAAGCAGAAACACGTTGGAATAATGCCAGAAAAGTCTGCGTGTATGGTCGTCATAAATGATTTAATTCTGAGGAACAAACAAACAGGACTCAATCAGGAAGCTCTGTTGGATCGTCGCTGACACGTCAGCGGGCACAGCCAATAATATACACCATGATAACATCAAATGACGTGCTTATAACCAATCACAGATCGCCTAATATTCTCTCCAGCCTATCACAGGGCTCCCAGCTCAGAGTGTCTTATCAAACAAGAGAGGTCAGTCCGTTGCGGAGTCCTGATGTCTGGACAAACAGATTAACATTGAACAAGTGACACAGATAGATAATTAGTCCATTACACATCAATGCATGTTCCCATACAATGGTGCAATTTGTGCTCTGCATTTAAACCGTCACTTATCCCCAAGTGCAGGAACTTAACTTAAATAGTTGCCTGGAGACCAGTTGTATCGAATGTCAGGAGTGCCAAATTAAATCAATTTATCATGAAATAATTTTTTATTGTGTCATTGATTTCATAAAATTGGAAAATGCATAAAAACTAAATTAAGTATGTAGAAATTATTCGTGCCACAAATTAAATATTAAAAATTAAATTTCTTTGTTTATTTTAAATCATATAAGTAATTATTTCATTATTTATTTAATTAATTCATGTTTCATTGCTGCACCACATAGTGAATTTTATCTGTGAAACACCCATCAAACTCAAAGGGCGGGGTTTAGGCCAATGCGGTAAAAAAAAAAAAAAGGGCTTTCCCATGACAACCAAAAGTAGCGTCTCCTGGTGTTGGGAAACTTCCTGTTTTGTTTTTTTTTTTTCAATTTGTTACCTCCGCCAAGGGTGAGGTAATGTTTTCGGTCACGTATGCCTGTCGTTCTGTCTGTGGACAACATTACTCAAAAACTTGTGTATTAATTGTCATGACATTTTTACCACGTGTGTACTGGGCCAAGGAACACACCTTTAAATTTTGGTGATGTTCCAGATCACGATGCAGATGCAGGATTTTTTTAACACTCAGATCGGCAAAGCTGTGATGCTTTCACAGGGCGTGGGTTTCAATGTGTCCAGCAGGTGGCACTGTAGTATTGGTGTGCCCCTTTGTAACTCTATTACAGGATGGGGAGAATTGGTCTTGTTGGAGGTTTGCACTCTCCGAGTGCTTCTAGTTTGTTACAGGAAGCTTTTTTTGAGAAGCTCATTGTGATATGTCCAGGCCGAAGTGCAGATGTCTCTATGGAGTCTTGGCACACATAAAAGCCTGTGAATCTTTATTAGTGTTGTAACTATAATGTTTATGAAAGTAAAAAGACTATAAATTCATTAGGTTTAGTTCAATGTAGAATAATGACTTTCTAATAATAACAGAGATGCCAGTGGGTTTAGTCATGCAAATTAGGGCTTTAAAGTGATCCATGATTAGTTATAAAATTATATTTTATTTGATAAACATGGCAATATCTGGTGATTTTAATCATGCCTCACTCTCTGCTACACTGCCAACATTTCGACAGTTTGTCAGCTGCTCTACCAGAGAAAACAAGACATTGGATTTGTTTTGCACAAATGTTAAAGCTGCTGTATGTAGTTTCTTAGGAAACCAAAAACTTAGAAAAATTTTGAACAGAAACAACCTTGTAGTCCCTCCCC